GCAAGTTCTGGGTGTCGTCTTGGCGGCCGGCGCGACGTAACCACGTGCTTCTCCGAGGTTCATCTTTCGGCAGGACGACGAAACGCAGGCCTTTTCGGGCGTTCTTCGATTTGCGGTTGGGGCAAGTCGTAACCAAACAAACGTTTGGCATCGCAGCGTAACCTCTGGTACGCGATGTCAAACGATGTCGCGACGTTGAATTTCGCCTCGGGAGGACGGGCGGACACAAACGCACTTCCCGAAAACCCGGAGGGAAAGAGTTCATGATACGCGCGCTTCCGCGCATCCCGAGGGAACGGGAAATTCACCCCACGCGGAGGAAGGCAAAAGAAAACGTAGTCCCTTGTTTGTGAAACGATAATTGCAGTATCGCGTGTTCTAAACTAGAAATATTTTACGTCTTGTGAAATTATCATGCACAACTTATTTAAATGAACTGAAAATTGCTTCTTTAGCGAAACTTTACAAAGACCGCCAAAATTTTCAAACATACGATAATTTCATTGGCCCTCGCAAGTACAGAAAAGAGTCCGCACGTATTTTATTCCTGCGTGATTAATAGGCGGTCCTGACTTCTAAAACTGAAGATACTCATTCACTGACACTTCCTTAACGCCATCGCACCAAAAAGTAGCTTCTCCAAAAACCGCTTGACTGCCCCTTTAAAAGTTAAGTTTCATAGCAACGTTTTCTTTTTGTTTGTTTTTTCAATATATCTTCTAAACGGAATATTTGAACGGACAATTTCCCGAAAGGTACATCTTGGGAAAGTATGCATTTAGGGTATCAAGAGCAAATCGGATACAAATAAAAACCGAAAACACTTAAGACTGCTTAAGTGTAGAAGCACGAAAACATTACCACACGCAGCGCATTCCTCCAAGCAGCGCGCCACGACTTCCTTTTTCACTCGGCGCCCCGGCGGTGACATCACATCCACCACTACGCAGGAGCGGAGCCCCCGTAGGCTCCACAGCTTCCGTGACGAAGCATCTGCGTTGCTGTACTTTTCTTTGTGTGTTAGTTCTGAGGCGCGTCCGCTTTGACCTTGTGGCGCGTGCTTCATGACGTATTTTTGTAACCATCTTTCGGGCACAACGCCGCCGCTTTTTCGTGTAATGGGACAAGTAAAGCTTTCACCTTAAAAATCTCCCATGAAAGCCAGTTTCATTTTTCTGCACTGAATATTTCACCACCTGAGCGGAATGAATGGAAATATGAATAAATACGTTATGAAACATTCACTTTTTTATTTTATTTCTTCAGCCTGTTGCAAGAATTCAAATTTGACAACACATGAATCACAATGTTTGGTCCGAATTAAAAAAGAACAATACAAAAAAAAAAATAAACTTATTTTGGTCTCTTTATCAGTCAATTGAAGGAAGGATATCTACATTTTTCTTCAAAAGCAACACAAAAAATATATAGAAAATATTATTTATAATTGCATCGGTCCAATAAGTTTCCGATAAAGCTGCCGACGGCGTGTATTCTCTTAGAGTTTGCTGCGTTGCCCTACATAAGTGAAATGAGTGGTTCGGCTGAGAATTGAATATGGGCCTCTGTAGCGTGGTATTCGCGAATCCGACCTAGCACTGTTGCGTCTGTAGTAAAACCAAGTCCCTTAGACAATTAAACACGAAGTTGTGTATGCTGCGCAGCAGGCGCACTGCCGTTTTTGATATACAATTCTGCAGAGACGTTCCGGTTGGCGAGCCTCTTCAGCATGACATCTGGCGTCAGAGCAGCCTATACTCCGCGACAACTTTTTTGGCAATGCAGTGGAAGGTACAGGCCCGCGTCCCCTCTCCCATTTTGAGTGTACGCAGGCTCTCCTCCTCCCCCATTTCCGGGGAGAGGAGGAGAGCCTGCGTACACTCAAAATGGGAGAGGGGACGCGGGACGTACCTTTCACTGCATTGCCAAGAAAAGTTGTCGCGGAGTATAGCTCAGTCAGTGTAGTTTCGTGTTGTAGCAGAAGACGAGCGTCAAGTACCGAAGTGGGCTCATGACCGAAAATGAGATAAAATAGTGAAGCAGTGTCCATAACCGCTACCGCCTGAAAATAAAATCACAACAATGATCCTGTAATGTCTAATCCTTGCCAGTTCACCATCTTAAAAACCGCAAACGAGGATAAAATAGTAAAGAAAAAAGGATATATCACTGCTCCTTACGAGCAAGCAAAAAGACAGCCCCGGTCTACACTCATGCATGACCGGCGAAAGCTTTACGCAGAGAAGCGGTGTTGTTAAAGGGCCGCTTTGTAAAAGGGCTTCCTGCCCTTCGCGCTACGAAGATGACACCGCGAGGCAATCTCTACTGTGAAAACTGCAATCGTTCTGTTGTACTAAATGATTCTTGTTCCGATTGTACAATCTTTCAGAAAAACAAAAAAAAAAAGCGAATTTCTATAGTGCACACACAAGTATACCAGTGAAATGACGATACTGCTGCAGATGTGTGGCCTCAAAAACAAAGATGCGTCGCATTTGTTTACATATGATTTTCAATCAACACTACAAAGTCCGGCGCAGGGCGCATTGTCAGCGTGCTCGCCATAGGTGCCTCGTCCTCCCCTGGCCTGATTCAAACTATATTAAGGATTTCAGAGGTGCAGTAGCTGCTTGCTTACAATGTACTTGTTTCGGGGTAATTAAGCCTCCAGTTATCCTTACATATAAAGATTTTTTAAAATTTATTTATCTTTAGATAATTAGCTTTTCTAAGCAATTAAAAGAACAAACGTGTATTTTCATGCGATACGCCATCGCTTTGATTACCAGTTACTCTCATACATGGTTAGGTTGGTCAGCGATTCGTTGTGATTGGCGGTATGTGGGCTTCGAGGGCAGAGCATCTAATTGACTCTTTTATATTCTAAATTATCTCCGCGATTTTTTTTTTTTGTTAACATGGAAGCATGTAGTGAAAAATGGTTGACTAGATGTCACATTGTGGATCCCAACATCTGATCTTGAGATGTTACGGCAGCAGGCGCGTTAGATGTAAGTATATCAGCGTACGAAACACCCTCTTGCCTACCACACACGTTACGCGGTGCAATTACACTGCTTGGACGTGAAAAAATTGTAACTCATATTTTACGTGCTTTATGGACGTCCCTGACCATAAAGGAAACAAAACAATCCTTTTCAATGTGGTTTCTTGTACAGAATGGTCAACCAGGATACGCACCGTCTCATACAAATAAGTTCGAAGACTTAAACAAGCTCACAGGTAATACGCCAGAGAAACGCTTAACTTCGCACAAGCTTGGTAATCCTAGGTGCCTAACTTGGGCATTATATTGTTTTGCTCCAAGGTTAGTCCCAGAGTACTCTTCTTCGGCATTTCTATGACTTTTCTCTGGCTTGCCATAGAATTGCCGAAATGCCACACCAGAGCCAAAGATGCAACGTATTTAAACCGAAGAACTAGCCGTGAAGTCTAAACCTGACACTTAATTGACAATTCAAGCCCTAATTTGCCCATGCATGAAAGCCGAAGAACCGCAACTTAAGCCTAAATCTCGCTCTTGTTTAGAAATTTAGGCGAGACGACGCCAAAGAACAGCCGATCTACGTGCAGCTAAGCCCAATTTTTACATATGTCTGGCGAATTAGGGACATGATACCCAAATTCTGGCCGAAGGAAATAAAGTTCATCTCGACCTTGGCTTCTTCGGGCTTTTCAAAGCCCTAAACTCCTAGACAGAAAGCCACGTTCAACTCAAATTAGAGTCTACAAGGGAAACTGACGAAACATTAAACTGGACGCTGCGGGGACCGTGTTGTATACAAGTGAACAATTAGGCCTTCGATTTCCATTTTTTGTTTTGTTTTGTTTCTGGCTCTAATCTGAACAGCCTGTACAATCATTTGGAAGCAATGTACTGCGCTGGTCAATTAACGTTGAATTTCAGTCCTTATTTTCACATCCCTGAACCTGCTCGGGAACGAGCTGCTTGTTCACCACAGTAAAACGCGCAGCTGTCGGAATTCCCGCAAAAACATTTCCCGGAAAAGCGAACACCTGAAAATGCCGTAATCATGTCGGGGCAAAAACGGAGGTTCAAAGCATACCAGGCACCCACTACAGCGGCAGGTATGGCACTTTTACTTGCGACTGTATAAGTTTACATAACAGAGCGGACTGTACTAAGTCGCAGAATTTGGTGCATATTTTAAGCGTGTTCCGCCTAGCGGAACCAATAGACAGCGCAGAGAAGGCGCCATTGGAAGGTGAATTTCGCTGATTCGCGTATATCGAGTGGCTAAATTTGTATCGCGATACCATTTACAACGACCTGGAAGTACCCTGACATGGCCATCACTCAAAGTTACAGCAATCGGTAACTTGCAACTGAACGAACATCGTGCACTACCTGAAAGCTGCGGAGTAAGTATTGTTTACACTGCTCCAACGTGGTTTGGTCAACTGAGGCTAGAATAAAATCATAAAATCATGTCGCCGACACGGCGCATAGGTTACCACAATGCGATTGCAAAAGTAAAATCTTTAAATTCAAGGTTTGAAAAATATCTTAGATTAATGATCCCTCAAACCCTATATTAATGTTTGTCACTGAACATGACCGGACCAACGGCTAATAACAGGATAGCCAATGTTAGGATTTTATGTAACAAACTAACATCTGAAACAATTACATAGGTTTACATGCTTTTTGGTAAAAAGTATACAAAGGGTAATTGTTGTTTACGTGTTTCTTTTTCTTTTTATTATTTGGTGATTCAAGACGTAAATGGGTTGCAGCATATAACAAATCAACCTGCGGTATTTTTGTCTAGTTTTAGTAAAATTAGGAAGCCACTTTCGAAAAAGAGAATGTAACATATTTCGAACCAAAAACATTGAGGTATATTACACGTACGAGACTGCGTTTGGTGTTTTTCTTTTATATTGTTCTTGCAGGAGTCACAATGACAAAAGACAGCTATCAAGTCCATAAAATCTCCCATAGAGAAGAGTACGTCATGGATCGCGCTTGGCACATTCCGTTCCTCGGTACCCTGGTGTCTTTCTTCGCGTCCTCGCCCTACAGAATATCAGGCCTCCTTTTGGTAAAAATTATGGAGGAATTTAACGTCAACCGCGAGGAAGCTTCGTGGCCAGTAAATATGATATCTTCTGGCTACGACATAGGAGGTAAGGAGCATCAAAGTTGGCACACTTATTTACTATAATTGGTGGCAGCTTTCTGCGGCATTTCAAAAACGAAGACTAAACAAATATATTTTTTTTGGGGGGAGGGGTAAATCTTTTTGGCATTATAGAAGTGAAGAGCGCTCGCGCTTGGCTTTGATCTGTGCCTAACGTAAGCGAGCGCACTGTGTACCATACGACGAGCAAGTGCTCCAAAATGCGGTCCAATGGGACAAAGACGCCAATCAAGGGGGAACATTGAGGAAACATAGGGAACACGCAATGACGAAAGAACCAAGCGCGCGCCGTCGATCGTTGAGGTCTGGGGCAAACAAAATCACGTGTCCTCATTCGGCGGGTAAATGAACACACAAGGTTCTCAAAAAGCAGACGAACTTACATGCCTTTAACGTCATGGCATTTAAAAAAACACAATAAAAATTAAGCAAATTTTTAACCATTAAATATGTATCATTTTTAGCGATATAATGAGAGCCACAGTCAGTAACAGGCTAAGATTGCAGTGATGAATTCACCTCAAAGACACACATATAAACCTGCTAGCCAATCGCTTCTAGTCGCTTCCTTGACGTCACTGAAATCAGGACTTCGGTATTCGCTCTTGTTCGCTGTAGTTTTGCGTAACGGAGCGAGAATTCAGCGGTCATGTCGCCGACGATGTGTTCAATATCAGTACGCCAATTTGGTCGAGCGAAAAGGCGACCGCCGTAACTACGATTGACAGGCTTCGTCCGTTTTCTGCGCGGTTTCGACTCAAGTGACGTAGAGAGGATATAGTGGTATAAGGCGTTTCTGCTCGGTGTTTTTTTTTTTTTTTTTTTTTTTTTGGGGGGGGGGGGGGGGGGCAACTTTAAAATCCTGCATTCACCGCTGTCGATACAATGTCTATCCGAGGCGTGAGATGCCACGCCCTGCTGACTGGCTGGTTTCCGTCTGCTTTTTGCTGGCTTCGCAATTAAAAGACGCCTACTAAAACAATGACGGCATCTCCATGTGGTGAATGATGTTGATTTGGGCGAAGCTCTGGTGGTGCTGATGATACTGATTTTGTTCATAGATAGTGCTGATGGTGCTGAATTTTTTTATTGCGCATAGGTAGTGCTGAGTTCCGGGTTGCGTTTCGACTTCATTATTACAGCTTTATGGTCGGCGAAATGCAGAGCCAGTGGTTCTTCTAGCAGATCCATCCTGAAGTCCGTAAAGACTATATGCAACTTTTGATCCATGACATCCCCAGCTCTTGAGTTATTACCACATCTCAGAGCCCCCTACTCGTCCCGCAGTCGCGGCCGAGAGATTGAGGCGATGGACTAGAAAGCCATTGGGGTGTCCCCGCCCAGGTTCGACTCCTGTCGACTGCGCAAACATTGTGTTTTTTTTTCTTTTTTTAAGAAGACATATGGGATGGCAATCGATGTGAGCACGGATGCCGGAGGGACAAGGCTAGAGCCTAAGGAGCTTTGCCCCTAATAGCAACTCCAAAAAAGAAATAACAGAACTTATTCTTCCGTAAAACCTGGTATTCTTGCGAATTATCGTCCCTGCAAGAAATCTCATTGTAAGTTAGGTAAGCCATGATCGGATAGCCCTAGGCCACCGTCACAAATGAAGACGCTATGGGACAAAGTTACAATCGCGTCCAGTTGCCCCCTTCATGACACGAACTAGAAACTAACCTTCTTCTATTCTCTGTATCTATCGAAATATCGTAGGCACCTTTGCCGTATCGCGAGAATACCGTCGCGCTCAATCAGCGGCAATCGTCGTTCCCTGCGGGTGCAGCGGATATATAGCCGCTGTCCCCGTCGCTTTACTTAGCGCGAGTTTGTGCGCTCATCCTGTGGCCCAACAGCTTAGCCAATACTGAATCAGCGGCAATTCCTACGGACATCAACCGTGACGCTTCGGCTTTGAGGTTTCAAAGAAATGGCCTTCTTTTAGCGTCGCCATGCTAGTATTGTCTGGCGCCATTTGTACTGAGAAGGAGCCACATAGTTTCGTTTATGAAATGCGCCAGCTGGGCTACACTGCGTATAGCAACTTCAAGTTCATGCCGGAATTTGCTGGGCGAGTTTATATTTCTGTCAGCATTCGTTTTATCAGTTAATCTGAAGCAACCAAGCCAACCTTACTCGAGCTTCCGTAGGTTTCTTATTTTATCGTCTACAACGTGTTCCTCCAAAAAAGAGAAAAAAGAAAAGAAAGAAAAGTACAGAGTTTTACTACAGCAAAAAGTGAACCAGGCGTCACGGAACGCCCATTCTCCGCCCAAATTTAGCGCTAGCAGTTCGAACCTAATGCCAAAATTTTAAAACAATTCGTTATGTAATTTAAGCGTTACAACTTTATTAGTTATTTTGTAAAAATTGAAATTGAAAAATGGGGGCCTATTTTTGTCTTTTTCCGGTTACTGGCACCATTCAGCTTCACGCATTCGAGAGTACCTTCGGCCGCCAGTTTCTCACTTAAAATTACAAAAATCACTTTTAACTTCTGTTAAGATTAACTTTTAATAAGATTAATCAGCTATAAATATCTGGCGTGTGCTTCGGATCGCTAGCCCAATATTTCGGGCAGAAATGAGCGTTCGGCAGTAATAAATTATTTTTTTTCAATAACAAAAAAAAAAAAAAAGAAACTTTCGCAATTTTTTTTTGTGTGTGGAAAAGGGGGGGGGGGGGGGGGGCAGCTGTACTAGGAAAAAGTAGGAACGCTACAGAGCATTTTGTCTTAATTCTTCTCGTTCATCCAAACAGGCCTTGTGTACGGTCTGCTTTCTCAATGGCTAAGCTTAGCACAAACTGCCGTCGTTGGAGCGCTACTCACATCATTCGGAGTCCTTACGTCGGTTCTCGTTTCGAACATTTGGTGGATGACGTGCACTCTGGGAATACTGCACGGTAAGTGTAAACTTCTATTTTGACCTGTTTTTCGCGTCCCTTTTGCATACGCTTTCAATAGATTAAGCTCCTCGGTGGAACACCTGGGAGCTTAATTTGTATTTCTCATTGTTGGTAAAAAATATGTTTCGAATAAAAAAAAAAATGTCTTCTGGCTTAGTTAACTGCTTATTTATCTTTATCGTCGTGGCGGTAGCCGTATTTTGTCTTAATATGGAGGCATTGAAATATGAACGAAATAACGCGTATTTTATTATATTTATTTTTACAAAAATAATTTGTTTACTTTTACATCCGGCGTATTATTCCGACTATAATTAGTGGGCTTCACTCAGTACGTTTGCCCCTTTTCAGTGTGACTGTTATCGCTGGCCGAATTACTTATTTGATGCAACTTATATATATTTTTTTTTATTGCTGGGGTAACTCTTTTTTAAGGTGCGAAGCGGCGAATTAGGTTTCCATATTCTTAATGTAGACAAAACTACATATAAAAAATTAGTGCCTCTTTCGCAATATTGCTGCAAATGCAGTCTTGCTTTCGCCGTCAAAGCCTAAAAGGCCTGGCAAGTTCCTACGTGCAACATCACCGCGGAGAAACACTCAACTGAATTGCTTCAAAATGCTGTTGCTGCTAGGCATTTGGCACGGATTTTATGCCTTTATGGAGCGAATACGGTAGCTGACAGATTCTATGTTTGGTTTAGTATTAAAACATCAGTGGGCAGTTTCATTTAAAATCGATTACGCGTGTCAAGCTAAATATTTTTACTTCCCTCAAAAAACAAATTATACATTATGGCCCCAGTTCCACAATAAAAAAGAACTTATTTTTTAGATAATTTTTAGAGTTATATTTATTTATTTATTTTTTTTTTTTTGCAAAAAACTTTGAAGTAAAGCAAGGTGAAATGATCCATTAAGGTTGCTTGATTTTCGTACTCAGTTCTGTCACTGGTTATAAATGCGTAAAATAGAAAACGTTTACACTAAGTTTTCTTGCAAATGCATGAGACATAGCCTATTTTCCCCTTTAAATTAGATTGCTTCGGCGTATTTGTTTACAAAAATAAAAGAAAAAATGCAAAATATCACATCTTTGCCGTTTTGGTGAGATATTTGGAGTCTTGTGTGTTAGACTTCATCATAAATTTTGTTTATATGCCTACATGCTATACTCATGTAGGCATACACATGTTCTATCAAGTAGCAGTACTCTAGTTTAATTTATTTTCCCAAAATAAATTATAGAATGTTTTTTTTTAAATTTCGTAAAACAAATTATTTTATCTTTAATTTTAATTTGCTTTAATAAAAAGATCAATTTTTATGTCCATATTTTCTTTTTTCTATTCCCAATAACGTTAACTTTTCTTGGCTTTAACCAAACTTCTCTATCTTTTGTCGTATTTTCTGTAGAAGTACAGCCTCTAGATTGTTTAACAATATCGGGCGAACGTCGACCGGCCGCTAGAAAAGCTATTTATGGCGGCGTGAAAGAGCAGGTCAGCGAGGGTACGCGCGTGTGTAAGAAGGCACACGCTTGGCCTCGCTGACTTGCTGTTTCGCGCCTCGACAAGGCGCTCATCTACAAGCCGGTGTTCTTAAAAAGACGATTTTAAAAAATCTGGAGGCTGTAGTCAAACACAGATCCATGCACGTGAATCGGCAAAAGGGTATTTTCTAAAGCTGGCTTTACTGCAAGGATTTGTTAACCTTGAAATGCTAAATGCAGGGGGTAAGGGGCGGCGAAAAGTGGCGGTGGAGATAGGGGGAGAAAGTTGTGTGGACGTGCCTCTCCCTTATAAAAAAATGTCTGCCACTACCCTCACCCCCTTATGCCTGCCCCAAAGCTATATATACACTCCGTGCGACGCGGCCGGCGCGCCGCCGCGCGGCCGTTACCGAAGGTAGGCAGTGAGAGTCCCAGCGAAACGAAACCACGCCGTGTACACTGGTACGCATTGAAGTCGGAGCGGTGCGGTTGCGTTGGGTTGACAGCATGAACTGCTGCGTCGTTAAGTGATCCAATAGTTATGCGTCGTGTCTCGTGGGGACGAAGTTTCACAGTTTTTCACCTCGCCGATGTTTTGTGGGACAGCGACAACGATGGACCGGTGCCGTACGACGCGAGAAATTTGGTCTCCGGATCATGCCTTCCACTGTGTCGGCACGGCTGACATATTCTACACTGCCGCTTTGCGCTCTTCGTTTGTTTTCGTACCAGTAATGCCATCCCACATTCGCGGGTATGCAGTACGAATTTCGTTGAAGGAATGCCCTCCAAGGAAGTTTCGTCCTCCTCGTACGTGTCGATGATATTTCCGGACCAGTATGGCACGCAGTCTGTACTTCATGAAGAAAGATTCGGACGGTACAAAAAGCGACCAATATGAATCTAAGGAAAACTACAATGAAACTTGGAATGAATGGACAATCGATGTTTGAGTATGGAAGTTTATGTGGTGTGCTTTCTTTTTTGATCGGCCTCCTTTTGGATGTGGAAACGCTGACACCCCGAGTCCTGTAGGCAACATTCTTTTTTCTCGGCTTTAGAGCTACCTATCGCAAAGTTGTTCGAACTGGAAGTACCGCCCACTGGTACCTTCCTACCAGTAAAATGTGCACCTCCCGGCCATGATGAGTGGTATTCTCTTGACAGCCTTTGATGCTCAAAACCGGTTCCCATTTAGTTACGCCGCTCAAACATATTTTTCCCTTGTTAAACTATGCCACCTCTATTAGGTATAATAAGTGTTTTGTCAAGTTATGGTCGTCCAAGTACCTGTGTGCCGAAAATCAGCCCCTCGCACAACCAGATTGCTACACAACAACTGACCGCAAAAGCCTTTGACGGCCAAACCGTGTGTTAAATGGCCCTGCAAACTTGGTTTTCTCAGCTTTGAAGCCACCTTTCGTAAAGTTGCTTCAATTGGAAGTACAGTGCACTAGCCTCTTCCTACCTGTAAACTCTCCATTTCCAACGACCAGTGGTATTCTCTTCACAGCCCTTTCACGGTCAAAACCGTTTCCCATTCAGTTACGCCGCCCAAACCAAATTTCGACCTGGTTTCCCTATGCCACTTATTTTTGGTATTATAAATGTTGTGTCAAGTTACGGTCATATCCAAGAAACTGTGTGTCCAAATCTGCACACAAAACACAAGATTTTGGATCCAATATTGGATATTCCTGACAACTTTATTCCTTTATTCGTTAGAACCATAATTTTCACATTTGCTGTCTTAATAAAACTTGGCCCACTTAGTGAACATCTCACTCACCTCCAAATGTCATCGTCCCAGCAGTCCTACGTTTACAGCGACGAGCGAAACAAATTTCCCACTGAGAGCAATTATGGTGGCGGCCGTCTTGCTTTTCGAAAAATTTCTCAAACCCCTTTTTCGACCACAACTAAAGAAATTACCCCTAATAACAACTCAAACTCCATATAAAAGGAGCGGAGAACAGCTAAATGCCCTTCTCAAATCTCTCCCAGCACTCATGCAACGGCACCCTCAACTTATCGGCTCAAAAAGCAAAAGTTCTGTCCGTGCGCGCTTCCGCCGCCACAGCTTTGCACGCGAAAAGGCGCCGCAGGCTGCTGAGCGCGCCTCACTGTCGAACGCCAGCTCCTCCGCTAGCGGCGCTACGCGCGTTTTTCAAAGCGCCCCCTATAGTTCCCGCACGGAGCGTATATATATATATATATATATATATATATATATATATATATATATATATACATATATATATATATATATATATATATATATATATATATATATATATATATATATATATATATATATATATATATATATATATATATATATATTGCTTTGGGGCAGGCATAACGGGGTGAGGGGCTCGGCTTCGTCAGGAGATGTCATAATCATGTCAAACTGTCATAACTGTCATAATACATGCAATAAACTCCTAGCATAGCAACTCCGCAAGCACGGATCTCTGACTTATTCCATTTTCCCGGTCCATTGTTCTCAAACTACTCTGCCTCACCCTATATTTATATCTATATATATATAGATATATATAACAGGTAATTTCATTATTATTGTTGCAGGACTGGGCAGTGGAACGATGAGTGTCTGCACACAAGTTTTTGTGAGCCACAACTTCGTAGTTTACAGAGGAATAGCTCATGGCATTGTAAGCACTGGGCCGAGCATTTCAGCACTCGTCTTCCCAGGCCTCCTTTTGTTAATGACAAGTGCATACAACTTCAAGGCCTCCGTAGTCCTCCTTGGCGGCGTCCTTCTAAACTTGATCCCCCTCAGTGCGCTTTTTACCCATCACTCGGCAACGACACCGTTCAATTTTTCAGAAACTAACAGTTCCCAAAACCCGACACCATCAGAGACTGCGTCAAACATTGAGGCAAAGCAACACGGAACTTTTGAAAAACCGTCCTCAACTCTTGAATTGAAGCCAAGGCTCCTGAGAACAGTGGCAGAGTTACTTCGAACTCCAATGTACTATGTCCTTCTTGTATCGTGGCTAGCCTTGTATTTGAACATGGACATTGTTCTTTCTACAATCGTCGACTTTGCCAAGGATATTGGAGTCTCCGAATCTAAAGCCGCGGCCCTCCTTTCTTATGCCTCAATCACGGATGCATTGGGGCGACTATTGATTCCGCTTGTAGCGGATAAGAAGCTTATCCGTCGAAGCACCCTGTCGGCCGTAAACTTTCTGGCACTCGCACTATTTGTTGCAGTCCTCGCCAGCGTGAGATCCTACGTGATACTGGTTATTTTAACGCTTCCCATGGCAGCGGGAATAGGTTGCTCGCAGGCGATGTTTGGTGCGCTACTGGCGGACTATATCGGCCTTCAACGATTATCAGCTGGTTATGGCCTATGCAGTGTCATCGGCGCCCCGATTCTACTTCTCAAGCCTCTATTTATAGGTGAGAACGTTTGCCCATTTTCACTTTTTATTTCGTCTTTCTAATGGGAGAAGTAAAGAAGAAACCTTTTCTGATTTCCGGCAACATTTTTGATTGCATGAATTATAAAGTAAGAACTGGCAAAATACTCAGCCTGGGGCTCCACAAAGTATTAGATGGAAATTTTGTATTCAAAGGTTGAAATTATGTTAAAGACTCAATAGTGATCTGCACCTCCTGTTCCGGTCCCCTAAGGGTGAATTACGAACAGAGAGTGTTCAGAAATAACTATATCATAACAACTATATCATAAAGACGTCTTCGTTTTGCACATAGCGACCCGTGCGTTTCTATGAATTGTCTGCGTTTCGTAATCAATTATAAACGCATTTTTGTTGTATTGAATAGTTATTTATGTTTTGATAAAAGCGGGAAACCAGGAGAAACATATCTAATCAAATCAGCAGGCCGAGTACACCTTTAATATCGAAGAGGCAGAGACGTTGTATTGTTTCGATTTATAAAACTTTCGCTTTAAACTAGCATGACTAGTTATTAGCTGTCATATTACTAAGACATAGAAAGTCACCAGATCATCGATATATTATATACGATTCTTTCCGAAACCAAACGCTAGGGTTTGTTCACCGCACATCGCACAGATCACCAGGGAACGGCCTTTCACTTCCATGATACACAAAAGTGAAGACACAGAAACGGTCCGAAACACACGAAGAGATTGTCGCGGAGAGAATAGGGAATAAAATAAATAAATAACAATAATATTACCCAACTCCGATCTTAACGAAAATTGTCTTAAACAAATATAAGATTTAGGTTCGAGCGGTGGCAAGGCGATAGGTCCACGCCTGGTGCAGAGTCAGACAAAGAAATCGACAACACGTAAAGGCAAAAAAAAAAAAAAAAAAATTCAGTCAAGACGGAAAAACTTAGCCACACACGGCAAGAACGAAAACCAACTCCTCCGGGCATTCCCTAAACGGGACACAACCAAATGCGTACGAACACGCTCTCTACAGCACCGTCAAGCCACTAGGCACTGACGAAATAAACCCAACAACTAAACAATGCTAACAAACAGTTAGTAAGAAAACATAGAAAAAAAAAAACGTTCAGCAGAATCGCATTCGAGAAACAAAGTTCAGCAGGGCGAAGAAACACACACGAAATAAAAAGTTAACGTGCTCTTCGTTAGTAATGTTGCCATCTTCGTCAGGTGGCAACTGGCAAACAGAAGCATCTTCGCGTTCTTCATCGGAAACGTTGAACAAAAGCTCAACTGCAGCCTCCAAAGTAACGAAGCGTTCCGCCATCTCCTAAGAGGAGAATTATTGCATGGTAAGGAAGTGTGCCACCACAAAAAAGGAAGCCATAAGGTTATTCTCTACTTACACTGACAAGTGGTGAGATTGCCACGTACTGCATGTGCATGACGCCACGACTTACTTGTGTTATGGTGCCTGGAACGCGTCTCCGACTGGTGTGTTTGGCGTGCTATGCTGCCCATACATCAAAAGTGGTCCCCAAGTGGCAACAAATGACGTCACAGAAGCCGGAGTGTCATGCTATTGACTGTCGCGCTACTGGCGGTTGGCCGTAGAAATGCTGGCGAAAAGCGCGAGCGAACGCGAGTGTCGCTGTCGTCACAGCGTCCCAGGCGTCCCAACTTCCGGCTGCTGCACCTTCCGTGGACTGTCACAGTGGGGAGCGACCTGCAACAGAACAGGCGTCTGCCATATCTACCACAGTTGCTGGGACACAACCAGGGTCGCGACCGGCGACAGCATGACACTTCTATGACGTCATCAGGCGGAAATCGAGGGACCACTTTTTTGAGCGCGGTAAACACACTAGTGGAGACGCGTTCCAGGCACCATGCTTGCGTTGAACAATCTCAAAAGAACGACAAGGAAAGCTGCCATTCAAGTTTCTGCCAACCGCCGCACAGGGGGCGCTACCAAAAAGACTAAAAACTATACCGAAGTGCAAGCTCCAGTTTACGTTGAATTTTGCTACTGTCAAATGCCAATGTTCCAAAAACGGAACGTTTGCAAAAAAACTCAATGCCAGTAAAAGACGTACAGGCTCTTTGGTTATTTATTTTTATCACATAATCGCGAATGATTTCCCTTTGTTCTAAATCGCTTTGTTCATTTGAACGCCATTTTTTCTTGCGAAATGACGTAACCCACAATTGGCTGTGAAAAAACCCAAGCTATGTAATTTCACAAACACTGATTCAAAGTTTTTAAAATGACAGATAGTAGAAGCTAAAATTGCGGTGTTTTGCACATTCATTGAACAGTATGCGAAAACGAAAATTAAAAACAAAGATGTATTGCAAAAGAGAACAAAAAATCAAGTTTCACACGTTCTAATTTTGGAACATTGGCAAGTAAAAGGTTCACCTCTGTCAGGCGACTTGAATGCGATGGGCTTCCCTAGCGCACTATGCCGGTTACATGATCGCATTGAATGCGACAACTGGATTCGATGCGACTAAGATTCATGTAAACGCAGCTTATGAGCTGTCGCCCCCCCCCCCCCCCCCCCCTCGATATATATATATATATATATATATATATATATTTATCGAGAGAGAGAGAGAGAAGGCTTGCAGAAGAGGAAATTCTAAAGTGTATGTCCTAGTCAGGGGCCAGACGGGCACCATTAGTTGGGGGCATATATATATATATATATATATATAGTTTTGATTCAGGTATTTTGCTAGTTGGGGTGTTACTGAAAACGGAAGAATCGGCAGACTTTTTTCTCGGTGCAATGGTTACAACAAGGGAACGAAACACATACCCATAACGCGTGTCTGAAAACTAGGTTGAGGTCTCGAACAAATATGATAGTGTAAAAAAATCTCCTTCACTTGATCAACTACCAAAATTAAAAGTGGGTCTGACGCCGTTTTGATATTATGTTCTAAATACTTTTCTCAATATATTTTTAGCAGATGCCCATCGTGTGATGATTTTCGACAGACAGTATTCCGTATCGCACGCTAATACATTTCGTTTCTCTAAACCTGATGAGTTTTCTGAGACGTGTTATGTTCCCAACACAACATCAAAGTCGTATCATTATGCTAACTATTGGAACTCTTGCACACGTCATACTTCAGTAATTCCATATGCGTTCGTCGTTGGCAGCAGGCATCTCGAGACGTCGCGAAAAGAGGAAGTGTCGTTGGAATTATTTCAGAAACAGCGGATTCTCGGCAAACGTCTGTCTTGGTTAATTTTTTCTGCGTTAATATTTTCAAGCGTTAAAATTCCACGTCCGAATTTTTAACGGTGATTCTTTCGGAACGAAATTTACTCCCATTTATTCCTCCATAGGAACTCCCCATAGTAACGGTTTGCTTGAAGGAGTGACGTCATACTTATGGTGTCCATTGTTATACAATTTGTTTTGGCAGACTTCCGGTGTTCTTACATTCTCTTATCTGAACATGTCTGAGACGAAAATGAGAATAGCTTTCTTGACCATCTAGTAGTTCCATTACTGAACGTATTAACGTCGACGAGCGCTGTACGTTAGGCTGTCTGAAGAAACGTGTAAACATGTAGTAGACTATTTCCAACCCACATTTGCTAAAAATGTTTTGTTTTTTATGGGGTTAATTCGATTTTGTTTTTCGTTGTACATTGATGCCATTATTAAATATATTACCAACTAGATCGTTTGTGCGCAAGTACAACCTATTAGTTTTTACTAACTTAACATACATCTGGTCTAGTTTAGACTAACTCGTTTGTGTATGATTTGTATTTGATCTGGGTGGCAGTGAAGCAGAACACAAATCGACTTCAAATATTTTTTCGTGAGACGAAGCATGCAACAATAAAGAGGAAGTTGATGTTTGTTCGGGCCTTGAGATATTTTAAAGAAGACTACTGAACTTTAATTCTTTCTAACGACGCTCAGTAAACGTCTCTTGCAACTGATTGGCCCGGGATGTCGTGGTACGTGTAACTCGAAACTTACTTTTCTCTCTGCCCGTCGAAAATTTTGTGTCGTCTTTTTTTTTTTTTTTTTTACGAAGTTTAAACGGATATTCAATTCTAAATGTGTATATCTGGCTAGAAACGGACGATATGTGGGGGCCTCATTTGAGAGCATGCAGCCTGTCGTTGAGAATATTCATGACTATTTTTACTTTGTTCTTTCTACGGCTCTTGGGCCTCATTGCACGCCTTGAAACCGGTCCACCAGAGTCTTAATGCGCTTTACCACCACATTAGCCACCTACATCTTGTTGTAGTTGTCAAAATCGGGAGCAAGCAATTGGTTCGTTTCATGGATATAGATGACGTTCGAATTCATCCTTTAAAAAAATATTAATATTAAGATGTTTTTATTAATATACCATATGAGAAATATTTGCTTACAATTCATAACAATTAACTAATAACCATGTTGCAAAGCGTGTATACGCTCACAAAGAAAAATATATATCGTGTGACAAACATTCTTCGCAAACATACCTTTTCATTCTTGTAAACACCAGCGCGACCAAGTCGCACAAAGTTTTGGAGTGTTGAACTGAGCGAGTTCGTAAAAGTTTAACATGATATAAATAGCAGCTACAAAAACAAGGACCACAAAAATAACACTTGCTACAGGACAACAACTGTAGTCATGTCACAATTTTTTTTTGTAGCCGTCTATCCTCCCAGAAGTTTTTTTTTTTTTTTTTGTAGCCGTTATTTTTATTAATTTTTGACTTGGTATAAACGTATAAAAACATAATCTGTTTCTCCGCAAAACAGTGAGCTACACTTGGTTACGGAACTTTGGCTCTTATGTGCTCAGAATTCCTCCGCAGTTTTTGTGCGCCTTAAGCAACTGGTCTCCTGCAAAAACAAAAAATGCCACGCTTGACTCATCCCTGAAATAGGCGAGAAAATATGCGTGAAAACTCTGACTTAAAAATGTTTAATATTTTTTCAGGTTACTTCAGAGACACCATTGGATCGTACGTGAACATGTTTCGTGTCCTGGCTGGGCTTCAAATATTGAACAGCGGCCTTTGGTTTGGAGTGCTTTTTGTAGAAAGAAAAAGGTTCACTCTGTCGCTTGGAAAAGAAACACCAAAATAATAGCGTAACCTACTACACAGATTACAATAAAATACTGAAGCTGCCAGACCGATGACGCGCAAGTAAAAAAAAACACAAAAAAGGGAGATTTTTTTAAGCACATTACACCACAGACATCTCAAAGAAAGAAACAAAATCTGAAGTCTTCGCAGATACTTCACGAAAGACTGAGCATTCAAATATATCAAATTTTTCTACAGCTAATACTGGAGCGGGTGCAGCGCAAAGGTAGGTTTCGTGATTTCTGGGCACACTTCATATGCGGGTATGCTTTGAGCTTTGAGCTTCCATTTATGCTCCTGTTTTGTTATTACCTCTCTGAGCACGCCAAGGCATGTCTTGTATCTGTTTTAGTTTGGTTTCCATCCGGTGTGTTGTTTGAGTTTTAATACGGAATTTTGCGTTTCCTGTCAATGTAGTGAGCACCACACAGGAGTCCGATTTGGTTGTGTATGAGCACAAGCAAAGTAAATTATTATTATTATATTGCTTGTTTCTGCTTGCCTGAAATAATATTGTCTTGTTTCCCTGCATGTATTGTGCTCTATGTTGTGGAGCTTGAACTGCTCTCTGAGTCTGCTATGGGAGAGTCAAACATGGAAATAGTTGCTAATTTGAACTTGAGTTGTGCGTGTGTGTGTGTGTTCATATTGAAGTGTGCCAGTAGTAAGACCCATAGGTTTTTCCTGGGCACTATACTAAACACTGATTGATTGATTGATTGATTGATGGCTATTATATCATTACTATTATTTGCTGGCTGAAGCAAAGGGGACAGAAAATGCACCATAAACAGATTTCTCATTTGCACCGTTTGACAGCAACCTGATGTAGCACATGTAATTCTGGGATACCAGTGGCAATGTGTTTTTGAAAGCTGGCGTGGCCCAGGGTTCTGTACTGTCTTTCTTTTTATTTAATTACGATATAAAGGACCTCGCGAAAATTCTTTCAGGATAGGAAATATTTCAATATGCGTACGATACTTTGTTAGTGTCACGGCATCTTAATGTGCGCAGTGCAGTTGCCTTATTGCACAATGATGCGACGCATGTGATGTGTTTGTTTGGAACTATTGTAGTGGAAATCAACATTAATAAAACAAAGTGATGGGTTTTAGAATTTCTGTAAAACGTAAATAAACTGGACCTCTCTTTTAGGGTTTCATTAATCAAGGAGTGCACACTGTAAATGTAAAATGCTTAGATGTTTATACACCAAGATCTCTCCTGAGATCTTATCATCTTTTCCTTTGCGTGTGCCACACTACAGCGCTGTGTCTGGTAGCGCATTTTCTCCCCCTCTGGCAAATATGTTGATCCCGGTCACCCGCATGCAACTGAAATTCAATGACTTCGCCGAAAAACTAGATATATTCAACGATAGCATTTCAGGTCTCCGAGCGTCATTAAGGCTATTGTTATGCATTTAATGGTGTTCTTAATTTTCTTTTTTTTTTGTAAGCGTTGTTCCCATCGCAAATGGGTGAGCGTACTACTGTAGACTGGTTGGATGTTTTTTTTTTTAATTGATGTTTGTATTCATGTATGTTGTGTTATTGTCTTCGTATCGCTTTTTAGGCCTTTTTACGCCTTTTTTATAGTCCTTGTCTCACAATTTTCCTTGTGTTTCGCGTGTTTCAACAAAAAGGCACCTGGTTCTTCTTAAACTCGCAATAAACATGATTATTATTATAATAATAACAATAATTATTATTATTATTATTATTATTAGAATAATATATATAGAAAAAATTAAAAAAGTCCACTTAAGTGGACTTTTCTAATTTTTTTTAGGGTGTCATCCCACAAGCCCTTCGCTGGCTTTGATGTGCCCGCAAACGTATCCCTCTTTAATGTTCCCACTGAGTCAATAAAATGTATGTATGTATGTATGTATGTATGTATGACACTTCCCTATTTGCAACAGGTGCTTCAGATACAAACTCCGCCTCGGCTTTCCTTCCCCGAATGACCGAGCCTGATCTACAAACGTCTTTCATTTTTTTGTACGGGTTTCCTCCCTGTCACTAATAGGTTTATCAAGTTGGGACTTCCTAAGTAAGTTAAAGATATTCAACCTTCCAGATAATACCCATTTATGGCTAGCGAATAATTTACCAGAATATTCGAAGGGCGCGTTCAAATATGTGGTCACGTGCCAGTTCGGACGGGCACCGTCCGACCTGGTATCCAAACGGATACTGGTTCAAACGGGCACCGTTTCCAATGGCAGCCGTTTTCATTCCATTTTTCATTTTATTTATTGTCCTCAAATCGCCCGTAGGCATCACATGAAGGGGGAGGGTACAAGGTGACTATATTCAAATACAAAATACACGCGAATGTGAGAAAGACAAAACATCAGCACGTACTTCAAAAAAAGAAAGCATACAGTATGCTTCAACTAACCAAGCAGACGACAGTCAGTGGTTACGCAAGCGCATATAGCAATAAAGGTAAAACATGCAGGTAGTGTACATGCACAGTACGCCTAAAAAATTAATTTAGTCACTGAACAAAGTTTCACAGGCGTCTCTGAGAAGAGCGACGTCCGCCAGACCCGCAACGGATTCAGGTAGACTGTTCCAGTCTTTATAGTGGCTAATTGCAAAGGCGATCCCGAAAATTGTTTGGTGCGAGTAGTTTCTTGAGTTCCTGGTTGAAGTAGTAGATTTTATGTAAAAATAAAAGCCTCGCTTGTTTACGCCTGCTACTCAGTGATTGCAAGCCTGCTCTCGATTTCGGGCAGTTACACTGGATGAGTGTGAGTAGACTTCATAAATAAAACGTGCAGCTTTGTTTTGTACGGACACTAGCTTCTGTGTAAGATTTATCTGCCATGGGTTCCAAATCACGCTAGCGTATTCAACTTTAGAACAAACAAATGATGTGTATGCAAGGATGCGGACTTCTGGAGGAGCTAAGTACATGTGTCTTTTCATGCATCCCAGCGATTGATTTGCCCTACCCAAAATAAAGTCTATGTGTTCCTTACAATCCAGCTTTTCTGTTAAGATAACGCTAAGAGACATATATACTTTGTTACCCCTTCAAGATTTGTGTTGGCGGGTGTATAATCAAAAGTAATATTGCTTTTCTTGGCCGAGAACGTCATGACTTTGCTTTTTGATACGTTAACACAGATTTGCCAATATGTACACCAAGCTATGATAAAATCAAAATCACGCTGCAGTTGCGAAGCATCGTCTGAGTTACGTATTTGCCTATAAATAACGCAATCGTCAGCAAATAGTCTAATTTTAGAGGTTATGTTTGTCGGGACGTCATTGATATAAACAAGATGTGTATGCAAGGATGCGTACTTAGCTCCTTTTTGATTTGATGATTTGAAGAAAAAGAACTCCAGATATTATATTTATTGTATTAGATGTTTATTTGTTAATGGCTACTGATTGTGTTCGGTGCGAGAGAAACTTAAGGGTCCAATAGACTACTTCCATAAAGCCCTGCGTGCAACACGGCGCGCGTTGCACTTTGGGAACTAGTTGGCCAGGGAGGAGGGTGGCATGGTTTCGGTTTCGATCGACAGGTCGACAACAGATTATACATGGAGCGTGGACTATTAACGGTCGTTATCTCATGTTTTCTGGTCCCGAGAGTGTCATTTGTGCTCTCTAAACTAACCTATATGGCCAGATCTCGAAGCTTTAGCACAAGCCTGAGACGTATCTTGTCTTAAAACATGCTTGTTGTATTTTTGTACTTGAGCCTTCCTGTTAGCGTTCCAATCTAGGTATGTGGACGAGCCAGTGCTGGGAATCTCAACTCTGCGAAGCTCGGGGTTCTTGCTTGTGTACGAATCAACAAGCTGTAGCAACCAATAAGTATGCATACATCGAGCTGGCGCCTTTACATTAGTGTTGTTGATCAGGAAGTTTGTTTGTTTCGTGCGTCCATAGACGAAATATTACTTTTTGCAATTACTGTTTTTCTTAATACGGCTGAGTATGCGAGGTAAAACTCGGAGGCGCCATTGAAAAGCTCAATTTTAAGACACTTCTTATCTCTTATCTGTACTGACCCGCAACACTGCACGAAGTGAAGTCCCCACCCGCTTGCATTCCACTAATATTCAACATCGCGTATGCGCATAACGTTATTTGCAATCATTTAGGCAAATTGGCACATACAGACCGTTTTAAGAAAGCAAAAGTCGAGCACTTGTGTGAAGAATGTCGCACCGTTCTCCGGAAGTGCGCCGGACGGGCATGAACCCCTATGCGGTGTGCCGAACGAACGAATTCAAAGCGCGTTTGACGGTTGCTAATGGCCATAATATTTGTTATGTGTTTGCTTTCTTCCTGCCTGAGTATGCCGAGATAATTTCAGACACACCGTTCAGGCACAGATCTAGGGCGTAAGTAAAAGCTCGTCCAAAAAGGCTTAGCGAGGAGCAGGGGACGCTTGTTAGGGCCTCTGTCGTAGCTAGCCGATCTCACGTTTGCGAAAACTTAATCTTTTATCAGCATAAAATTTTAGTGTGAGATATGCGATGACACAAGGAAGACATCACACAAACTTTTGTGCAGAAGTGAGGTCGAATTTATTGCGTTCCCTTAAAAGTTCATGCGTAAACGCTGGGCTCAACTTTGATACCCTGCGAGGATGCGGTTTGCTTTTCGCCCAATGAAGTAACAAGAAGCGGACGTTTGGCAAACAAAATACGTGTAAGGCTCCAGATGAACAAATTTTAGTTCTAGTTCACTGGTACTAGACGGGATTATTGAAATTGAGCTCAAACATGCACTCGTGGGGTGAGGTGACTAAGCCACACTTACTACGTTTGCCTACGCACGCACAATATCCGGTGTTTCGGGAACCTAGGAAAGTGCCCCGGTCTTCGTCTTGTATCGCTCGAGAACGAGTGTAATGTACGTTCATGAAAAACCAGATAATCGAAAACGCAAGCAGCGCGTTCGGTCGCGGCGTGATAGCATGAGATAAAGATGCTCAGTCGAAACCGAAACTGAGTGGCCAACTATAGTTCCCAGAGTGCACTGCGTGGTATTTCGCCGCGATGGGGCGCGTCGGTTTTGGAAGAAGTCCATTGGTGTATATAGGTTGAAAATCTAGACTTCCTAACTTTTTGAGTAACCGCTGGTGAGGAAGCCTGTCAAAACCCTTAGAGAAATCTATAAACAGAGCATCTATTTGAACCCTACACTCTCAACAAAAGGGTAGTCGTTCGGTGCTACCTTTGGGGTAGTCAGAAGCCGTCACAGATATCGCTACACCCCCTTCGTTATACTAACAACCCCATGGGTAGTCACACGGCACGCAATCAACAGGTTGTCACAGTGAGCACCCCCAAAAGCAACATGGCGGCTGGCAAGCGACAGTGGAGCAATACGAGTAAGGCCTAGCGAGCTGGACTGCTTTTTGCTAAAATACGATTCTCAAGTGCGTGCGCCCGTTCGCGGCCTTCCGTGCGCACTGAAGCACTCCAAAACGCGCCTCGAACCA